CGGTCATGGAATGCAGCGCTGCGGGTCGGGTGGGGCCGTGGGGCCACGGCTGCTGGGGCTCCTGCCCCGTAGGTGGCTGTGGGTATGTCCCGAAGGGCAGCGTGGGGCTTTGTCCCGGTCACCGGCCCTTGCCCGCTCTGCCTTCCCTGCCAGCTGTGCCGCCCAGGGGCCCACAGTACCCGGGGAGCCCATCTTCTCGTCCGCAGCCTGGGAGGCGATGGGCTCAAAGAGGGCCGGGGGTGCCCCAGGCCACACAGCCCCTTCCTGCTGCGTGGTCTCCTGACCCTGTGTTCCCACTGCCCCCCACCCCACCCCCGGGGCCCTTCCATGGCCTTTCAGGAGCTGCTGGGATGAGTACCCAGGAACCAGAGGGCCTACCTGAGTGCTGGCTGCCTGTGCCACAGGCCCTGAGGTGCCTCCATCTGGGGGTGCCCACAGGCCACCTGCAGGATACCTCCCTTCCACCCCTAGCCCACGGGGGCCTGCAGAGGGCTGCACAGAGCCACAGCTCCCTCTGCCAAGAAGGTGGTGGGCCCCACGGGGATCTCTGTGGACGTGGGTTTCCTCATTCCTGGAACTGACCGCCCCCCTTGCACCTGCTCTCCCCACTGCTCTGATGCCCAGGAGGAGGTTGAGGGTTGGGGTCCAGGCCACCAGGGACAGACCCCCACCTCTGAGCCCAGCCCGGTCACTCCCTCCTGGGGGAAGGGCCAGCCCTGTGGTGTGCGGGCAGCGGCTTTTCTCTCTCTGAGGTGGACCCTCAGGCGCAGAGCAGGCGGCCCGGGCACCCAGGAGGCCTTGGGCCTGGCTGCTTCCTTGGCCGCAGGAAAGGGACCCCAGACTCCACCTGGCCCCCCTCTGCAGCCCCACACCCCCCGCCCGGGCAGCCAGGGGAGGCGGACAGCCACAGGCCGGGGGCGGACCTGATGCATGTCAGCTCTGCTGGCCTGGGCTTGCCCAGCTGCTCAGAGTCCCCCATGGAGAGGTGCCCGGGCTGGGCAGCTCCCAGCTTAAGGCCGCCACCTGGCGTCGCTGTCGGGAAGTGCACCATCCAATGGCAGAGCCCCGTGGGCTGTGACCCAGGACTCCCTCCCGCTGACGGAGATGGGGGATGGGGAGGGGGGGGGGGGGGGCTGTGAGAGCGGGGCCGGCCGTGCACCCTCTCGGGTTTGGGGGGGGGGGGGGGGCAGCGGGTCTCTCCTCCTTAAAGCAGATCACACACGGACGCTGTGATTGGGTGAGACAAAGAGTACAACCCCCGCGGAATGCGTCACTGCTAAGGACGCATCCCTGCTCCGTGAGGACGCACACTCGCTGCAGATCGTCTGCTCCGTATGCAGCCATTGCCTCCTGGAGGCACCGTCCCTATGCGCACTTTCCTTTGGGGGATTAGTAGCTGTTTTATTTAGAGAGCGAGGAAGGGAGAGGGAGCAGCATCGTTGGGAGAGAGAAACAAGGATCGGTGCCTCCGGATGCATCGCGCCCGGGGATCGAACCTGCGACCTGGGTGCGGGCCGGAACCGGCCACCTTTCCAGCAGGGACGGTGAGCAGCGGGCTGAGCTGCACTGGCCAGGGCTGCCCTCTGGGTTTTAAAAGGGACTTAAGTGAAAGCTCTCCGTGGACCCAAACAGCCTGTGGCCCTGGGCTCTGTGCCCACCGTGTTGATGGACAGGCCGGTCCTGCCGTGGGTCCCCGAGAGTGAGGGCCCCCTGAGATGCTGGCCTTGGCCACCCACCCGGGTCCTGGCCTGGGTGACAGCCGGGACCCAAGGTGCCGCATGGCCCTGGCTCAGCTGTGGGCGCAGGTCTGACTGCCGGGCCAGCTCTGGAGGGGGTCCGAGGTCAAAGGTGGCTCTTGTAGGCCGTAGGGCCCATGGGACACCCCAGAAGCCTGTCCAGTCTCCCAGGAGGAGCAGGGCCTGCAGCCTGAGCCCAGCCAGGAGCCGCTCCCCGAATCCGGCAGCAGGTGGCGCCAGGCCTCCAGCTGGGGATGGGGCTTGGGCCGCCTGGGTCCCTGCCTTTTTCCTGTTCCCACCCCGCACCCCACCCGAGCGAGCGGACTAAGCTCTGGCTGGCATCTCCGGGCACCCCCACAGCATCCACGGAGTGGGGTGGGGAAACTGAGGCCCAGGGAGTGGAGCGGCTGCCCTTGGCCTCTGGCCCAGAAGCTCGGCCCTCCACCCTCCGGCCTCCCAGAGCGGGGGAGGGGACGCAAAGAGCTGCTTTGGCCACACTGAGGGCTCCATCCAGATTGCTTCAGGACTGAACTTGCTGATGACCAGATGGTGGGGAGCCCCTGCCCCCCACGCTCCACTCGCCCACCTTTGGGGAGCGTTTATAATCCCCATCTCTAGGCACCAACGATTGGCCATGGAGAGCCTGGACTGGGTGGCTGGACAGTAGGAATGGACACAAGTGAGCCAGGTGCCACCCCCTCCAGGAAGCCCTCCTGACTGCAGAGCCGGTCCAGGTGCCGAGTGAGTCCCTGCCTGTCCCCGCCACGGTGCCGACCACATGGTGGCTGCTGTGTGTCCCTGCTGCCCCGCTGGGCCACGAGCTCCGCAGGGCAGAGCCTGGTGTTGATTGCAGGGCGGGCACCGCAGAGGTGCCAGGAGGAAAGGCTGGACTGACTCCTCGGGGAGTTCAGTCAGACACGGACACGGCTCAGGCAGACAGGAGCTACCCTGGTCAAAGGCAGCGCCCGAGCCACAGCCGTAAGAAGGTCGGGCTGTGCATCAGGACCCGGATGAGTGGGGCGGCACAGGGAGGGTTTGGGGAGGGGGGGCACCAGTGTGCGGCAGGGCTGCCTACGGGGCAGGGGGTGTGAGGTTCGGGGCATGAAGGGGCCACGCTGCCCCTGACTGCGGGGCGAGTGAAGGGGAGGTGGATGGTGCCCAAGTCTGGCCCCACTCTGGGCAAGGGGACGAGGGGCTCCACTGTCAGGCCTCTCCTGTGTTTCTCCAGCTGCAAACTCCTACACAACCGCCAGGACCCAGCTTGCATGGACCGACCGAGAAGCCCTTCCCGCAGCTGCTCTAAGATGGTGGCTCAGGGGCAGTCCTCGTGGCGGTGGGAGAGGCTGAGGAGCTGAGAGGAGGGCGGCCAAGGCCTCAGGCTCCTGCTCAGCTGGTCCTTCCTCATGGGGCCCCTCTGCCTGGGTCAGGAGCCCCTCTGGTCCCTGTCACAGGGCCCCTACCCCAGGTCACATCTGAGGACTGTGTCCCGTCCGTCCTCCTGTGGGGCTGGGACACTGGGAGGTGCAGTGTGTCTGGCTCATGCCCATGAGGTTGGCAAAGCAGCCTGGACTTGCCCAGTGTCTTCCGTAGGGGGCGGTGGGGTAACCTGGGGGCAGGCCCTGGGCTGGGAAAGGGGGTGTCTTTTTTAAAATATTTTTTTATTGTTTTCAGAGAGAGACATCAACGATGAGAATTATGGATCGGCTGCCTCCTGCACGCCCCACACTGGGGGTGGAGCCAGCAACCTGGGCCTGTGCCCTGACCGGGAATGGAACCATGGCCTCCTGCCCATGGGGGTGTCTTGCGGGGTCTGTGCCAGGCACCACGGGCACTGGGGCATGTGCACCTGAGGGCGCTCTCAGGCACCTGGCCAGGCATGAGCGGGCTCTTCTGACGCTGGGCTAAGGTGCCAGGGACAGGCCGGCAGCCGCCAGCACGAGGGCGCGAGGAGAAACATGGTGAGCGTGTAGGGGGCGGTCAGCCCGAGGCCGGACCCCAACAGGCTGCCCAGGAACCGTCCTGGGGGCCGGCTGTGAAGACGGACTTCTGGTCCTGGTCAGGCACCGCGTGCTGGGCAGCAGGGCCCAGCCTGGAGCTGCTGACCGGGTCTCGGCTCCGGGGGCTCAGGGGCACTGTGCTCAGAGGCGGCACAAGTGGGGAGAACGGGCTGGGGTCCAGGGCACGGACGGGCGAGCCTGATGACTCCCACAGCTGGACACGGCTCCCGCTCCGGCCACGCACACGCCCCCCCTCTCCCCGCCAAGACGCGCCCTGAGCTCGCTCCCATGCCCCCCATCACCCAGCCCTGGGCTTCCAGAATGAAAGGGGCCAATTCCAGTCTCAGCAGAACAGCTTTTATTGAGAAGTGCACAGGCCGCCCGCAGCCTCACCCACCAATCCCCCCACCCGACAGTCCCCCCACCCCTCCCGTGGCTGAGTCCCAGGGGGCGGGCCCTCCGCGGCTGGTCTCTGGGGGCCTCAGGGAAGGCAGTAGGTTGTATAGTTATCTTCCCAGGGGCAACATCACTGCCCTGAAACCACACAACCTACTACCTCACCCCGCCGGCTCCCTGGGTGCGGAGGGCCCGCCGCCCCGCTGCCCCACGCCAGCTCGCCCCTGCCCGTGGCCGTGGCCCTGGCCCTGGGCTGAGCGGAAGGCTGGGCGGCGCAGGGCAGGAGAAACGTGCGGGCGGTGCAGCCCACGCTGCCCGCCCGCAGTGGAGGGGGGAAGACCCCCCTTTCCCCCGCGTCCCCTCTCCTCCCCCCACCCTGCGAGGCTGCCCCCTCGTGCCCCCAGCCCGGCTCCTGGGCGCTGTCCACCGGCGATATCACAGCCGCTTCAGGAAAGACAGTAGATTGTATAGTTATCCCACATCAGGGCCGAGCCCCAAACTATACAACCTACTACCTCACCCCAAAGGGCTGTCAGTCTCGGCGAGAACTTCAGAGCTTCTTCCTGGGGGGCCGGGGGGCAGGACAGGGGGCCGCCGGGGGGCCAGGCCCACAGTGCGAGGGCTCAGGATTCTGGCTGCTGGGGCAGCTCCTGGGAGCAGCACCTCCACAGGGAGGAGCCAAGGAGAAAACCACCTACCAGAGGGGGCAGAGGAAAGGGGGAAGGGAGGGGGGGAGATGAGGGGGGGAAAGGAAAGGGGAGGGGGAAGGGAAGGTGAGGGAGGGGGAGGGGGAGAGGCTAGGGGGAAAGGAGGGGGAGGTGAGGGGGGAGAGGAAAGGGGAGGGGGAGAGGGAAGGGGAGGGGGAGGGGGAGATATGGGGAAGGGAGAGGGGGGAGATGCGGGAGGGAGAGGGGTGAGGGAAGAAGGGAGAGAACGGTAGGGGGGTTGGACTGAGAGAGGGAGAGTGCAGAGTGGTGTTTGGGAAACTCATCTAGGCACTGGGTCACCCCATCAGGACAGGAGTGGCCATCACACCCCATCAGGACAGGGAGGCCAACACGCGGCAAAAGGCGTGCGTGCGGCTGGGTCAGCGGGCGTTGTCCATGCAGCAGGTCGCTGGTTCCGTCCCGTCAGGGCAATGCCCAGGTTTCGGGCTCCATCCACCGCAGGGCGTGCAGGAGGCAGCCGGTCGATGTTTCTTTCTCCCTTCCTCTCTCTAGAAATCAATAAACTATGTAAGCCTCGCGCCTACTCACCTGGTGGATAGGTGCCTCCCTCCCTCCCTCCCTCCCTCCCCACAGACTCTGCTTTGTCTGGGCCAGAACCGCAGGCCCTAGAGGGACAGAGGGACAGGGCCTGTCCCAGGGCAGGCTGGCCCCTCCGAGGGCTCTGCACTCAGCGCCAAGGGGACAAAATCAGCCTCGACAGGCGTCACGACAGCCACCACCGCCTTCTGGGGCTGGAGAGGAGCTGGGAGGCAAGTAACGCTGCCCACCCATCTTCCAGGGGAGGCGGCAGGCCAGGTCACATGACCTTCACGAGGCCACAGCCGATGGTGGCCTGAGGTCAGACCGTCCTGCCTGGTGAGAGGGCAGAGCATGAGCTACCCCCAAACCCCTCCGACCCTCCCCAGCCGCCTCCTCCAGGCAGCGTGGGGCTGTCCCAGAGCCCCTCCCCAGGCAGCCCGGATGGGTGAAGGGGACTCCTTCTGCCATCTGCCAGCTGCGGAGAGGCCCTGCCCGGCCCTCCGTGGCCGCAGGGGTGGGGGCTGGGCAGGCCCAGGGGGAGGAGCCAGGCGCTGGGGACAGGTGTGTGGGAGGCTGGGTGGGCAGGTGGCGCTTTCAGAGGCAGGCGGATGTCTGGAGTGAGCGAGGCAGACAGACGGCGTCACCCCGCAGTCACCTCGGGCTTGGCGTGGGGCCACCGGGAGCTGGGCCCCACCACTGTCACCCCGATTAGGTTTCTCCCCATAAAGCAGCCAGTGTTCCTGCTCGTCAGGCCAACAATGGAGTCGGGAAAAGGACACGGGGGCGGCATGGGGGGCAGGTCCCCGCCAGCACCGCCGTGCAGGAGAGAGACATGCGTGGCCGTGGGGCCGGGCGGGGCCGGCGGGCCAGGGGAGGCCAGCCAGGCACTCGGTGTACGGAGCCGAGTCAGTATTGAAACTAAGGAGAAATTTAAAAAATTAACTGACGCGAAGTCAGCCTTAAAGGCAGGCTGGACCGCGTCCGCGGCTCCTCCTGTGCCTCAGGCTCCCGCCGCTGGGCTCGTCGCCCCAAGACCACACCCTGGGACACGGGCAGAGTCCAGCTGTGGCTCAGGGACAGACCCAGGCCCCCCTTCCTTCTTGGGCCCATCCTGACGCCCCTCCCCGTGCAGGTCCTGAGCGGATGCCCGGTGGTCCGGCCGGTGTCCCCTTGGTGGGAGTTGGTGCCCCGTCCTGGCCGCCCGTGGGGACCTCCCGGAGCTCCCGGGCAGGGTCAGACGTCCCTTGGCCAGAGCAGGGCCGGCGGGGGCCGAGTTTGGGAGCGAACAGGAGTAGCATCTGAGACACTGGGGGTCCTGTCTGCAGACACGCCTACCCACACTGGGGGGTGGGGCGGCGGACAGGGGCCGGGGGGCGCGGAGAGCTGGGTCCAGGGACGGCCAGGCCACGGTGTGGCCTCTCGTCTGGCCAACGAGCCACGGGCCTCGGCAAGTCACTGCCCCGTGGCCTCCGCTGCCCGCAGCCGCCCGGAGGAAGCTCGCGGGCAGCATGTGCCCAGAGAGGTGGCAGCGAGGGAGCAGCTGCCTGCACGCCCGGGGCAAAGGTCAGGCCTGCCTGGAGTCCAAAGGGGAGGCAAGCACGCGGCCGCCCCGTGGGCGCCTCCCGCGGGCATCCGACCATCAGGCAACGGTTCTAACCTCAGAGGCATGTCTTTATCTGAAAATATTCTCCACGCAGGCCATGGTCTGGGTCACAAGGCGGGGGGGGGGGGGGGGCATCATAAAAAAGCTGGTGGAACCTGCCCCGGGGCGGCCCTCCTGGGCACGGCCCCCTCTGGGGTGCCTTTCCGGCCCCCCAAGAGGCTCTGGGCCAGCCTGGCGGGTGGGACACACAGCCTGGTCGCTACATCCCCTGACCACCTGGTGCCTCCGTGCTCGGCCAGCCGCTGTCCCACAGGGACCCCCCTCCTGCTCTGCAGCCCCATGGAGACCAGCGCCCTGTCCACGTGGCACTCACCTCCTCCAGGGAGCCCCCCGCCCTGTCCCCTGAGGACACGGGCTCCTGGCAGGTGAAGGGAGTGAGGAGCCAGGGGGCTCGAGGTGGCCAAGGACCCCCAGGAGCAGGGTTTCAATCCCAGCTCTGCGGCCCTGGGTGGCAGCACCCGTGTGCTGGGCACGGGGTTCTGGGGTGCACAAGGCTGGGCAGGGCCGGGTGAAGGGCTGGCTCTGGGCCGCCCTCCAACGCGCTGGCCGGTGCCAAGCCCAGGGCGGCTGGGCCAAGGCGGGCGGGCGGGGACGGCGCTGGCTTGGCCCTGCCACCGGGGTAGGCGGGCAATGGTGCCCCCTCCTCACCGGCCGCCACCCAGACACAAAATGGCGCGGGGCTGAGGCGGCCATTTCGCGGCGCCCCCGGGAAACAAAGGCTGCGGGGACGGGGGGGAGGGGAGACGGGGGGGAGGGGGGCGTCCCCGGCTGCAGGGAGCAGTGTCCACTCTGCAAGCAGCCACCTGCCCTGGCGAGAGAGGGGCCAGGAGGGCCCTCGGGTACCCTGGGCTCGGCTGCAGGCTGTGAGGGGGCCTGGTGTTGGGGTCCCTGACAGACGAGCCCACACTCCCCACCCCACCCATCCCCGGCCAGGCCACCCGCCTCCCAAAGTCCTTCTCACCTGGGCAGGGCAGTGCAGCGGGGCCTCCTGCAGGCCGTGACGGGTCCCCCTTTCTGAGGGGCTTTGGGATGAGCCACATCCTGCAAGACACAAGGTGACCAAGGAGTCAGCGGAGTGCCCCCGAGTCTCTCAGGGACCCCACAGCCACCTGCAGGTGGCCCAGCCTGAGGTCAGGAACTTCACTTGAACATCCCAAACCCCCGCCCGCTCCCTGCAGCCCCGCCCGCCATCTCCAGTGTCCGCAGGAGGGGCTGGGGGGCTCGGGGCGCACCCAGGATGAGAGGAAGTACCCCACTCACTCTCGGAACAAGGCCCGAGACCTGGGATTAGGTCTCCCCCGAGCGAGCGAGGGAGGGGACCCCTGGGACCCACTGGACGAGGACGCGAGCCTCGGGCTCAGGCATAAAGCGGGCACAGCCTCCCAACGCAGGGGTGGCTCAGGGGGACACACCCACAAACCCCACCAGGCCAGACCCGCACGGCTGGGCCTCGGCCCCATCTGGGCTGGGGTGAGGGACCCAGGCCCAGCTCTTTCTCGGACTCTGCCCAGGCCAAGCGTGAGTGACCAGGAGGCGGCAGAGGCCGGGCACCGGGCCAGGGTCACCATGTGCGCCCCCCACTCTCCTCTCTCCGGCCCCAGCACTGGGTTTCCTGCGACTGGTCAGGCCCTCAGGCTGAGGGGAGCCGTTGGCGGCTTCGAGGATGTGCTCAAGCCCCCAGAACTGCTTGCCCTGCCCATGAGCATCCGGAACGTTCCTGTGTCCACCTGCAGGGGGACCCAAGGCTGCTGGGTTCCCTTCTCAGCTCTCCCCCTGTGGCCCTGGACAAGCCCCTCCTCCTCTGGGGGCCTCAGTCTCCTCACCTGGAGTCTGGGGGCGCAGAGCCCAGCTTCCAGATTCACAAGGGCGGGAACACACCTGGGCCCCCGGCCGGGAGACTCCTCCCAGCATCCAGCCTGACAACTCGCCCGGGGGCCGGGGTGGACACCCCCTGGGGCAGGATGGGCGGGAGCTGAGCCCCGGGAGGAACTCCAATCCCCAGCTCAGCCCCGACCTGCCCGCACTTGTCCTTGGAATGCCACGTGGCCCTGCTCCAAGGTCACCCTTCCCGCCACCGCCCGCAGCCCGCATAGAGCAGGCTCCTGACTGGCGAGGAATGCCAGGGGCGGGGCGGATGCCTGGCCGGGCCCCATGCGGGCACCCCAGGCCATAGGGGCCCGAGGGCGGGAGCCGGACAGTGAGCTTGTGGGCGGCCACACCCTGCGGCCGGAGTTGGCCAGACACAGACCAGGCTGCGTCGCCGGGGCCCGAATGGCTCCAGCGGGGACTTGGGGGGCCGACAGCTCCCCCAGCAGCCGGTGTGGTCAGGGCACGGGTGAGCTCAAGTCCCCAAGGACAGGCATCGGGCAGAGCTGCCAGAACCTCCCCGCCACATGACCCCCGTCTGGTCTCTTAAAAAGGAGCCACTTACACCCACCGTACTGAGCTGACATCAGAGAAAACGAGCAAACGGGAAACCCCAGGGGCTCTGCGGGCACCACGCTAACTGCTGACTTACCCCCCAAAAAGCAGGCCGCCGCCGCGTGTCGCACACCCACCTCGGGCTCCGCTGGGCCAGGCTGGTCACAAACGGCAGGATCTGCACTAGCAAAGCCACGGCCATCGTGCTTGACGGTGATGAGATGCCCTGGCCACCCCCACCACGACTCCCGCCCGCTGTGGACGGCCGGCTTTTGGGGGAACAGGCAGGGATGGCCTGGCGGGCAGGTCAGTTTCACTCTCGCCACGTGGTTGGTTCTGAAAGTAAATGACATTTTCCTGTCACTGCTGAAGAAACAGATCCTCATGAAGCCAGAGTTTGGGAAACGGAGAAAGGCAGCCAACACGTGTAACCGTCCGGAGGCTCAGGCCTCACGGAACCGTGCCCACCTGGCCTGGAGCGCCCCCCACAGCCTGAGCCCTGGCACCCCATCGGGGAACTGGTCACGACCACTGAACCCCCAGAAGGCAGGCTGCTTCCAGGTCCTCGCACCATAAGGAGCACCTGGTGGGCGCCCCTCTCTCTCTGTCTACGTCTTCCCCTTCTCCGGACACCCCAGGACCCCAGAAGGACGGGCCCCAGTCCTCGATGGGCCCCTCTCCCAGCTGCTCTTCCCAGGCCTGCAGCCGCCTCAGCACAGCGACGCCCGCCCTCTCCGGCAGGGTCAGTGCCCGGCCGGCCGCTGGTCTCGGAGCCCTGCCTTGGCCTCACGGGGACAGGACTTGGTGGGAAAATTGTCTGCTGGCGCCTCGGAACTCCTCACAGCGCCCGCACGGAGCACAGCGAGGCTGTCTTGTCTCCCCTTTCAGTCGCCGGACTCATGAAATGTCCCCCAAGAGCCTGCCCTGCCCGAGGGGCTCAGGCTCCCGGAGTCCCAGGAAGGGGACCTGGCTGGCACCCTGCAGGGTGGGCGACATGGGCACCACCCAGGGGCCGATCAAAGGGGGGGACATGCTAAGAGACATCAGAGCTGGCGGGACTCGGGGTGGGGGGTCTGGGCGTGGCCCGCCCGCTGCCACCCCCACCGGCAGGTCTCACGCGGGGCTGAGCGGGGAGGGCACGGGAGGCAGCGGAGGAACCGCCGCCGTAAATCACCGCCCGGCGGTGTAATTATCTGGGCACTTAAGCTCCTCTTTTTTCTCTCTCCCCCTGGGGAAATTTCCTTCATTTCCTACATTATCCCCTCTCCCCGAACTCTAAATCAACCCCGACCACGCTGCCCGCTCCTCCCAGCTCACTCCCTTGCCAACCTGGGAGGGGGGCCGGGTGCAGGGGTGGTGGGTACCCGTAGGCGATGGCTCACACCCGCCCAGGTCTCTCCTGCCCGGGACAGAAAACTCAGGTGCCACCTCACCTCTCCTTGGGCTGCGGCGACCATGTGCCCAGGTCCTCCACCTGCCTCTCCGCCTGGGATCTGCGGAGGGGCCTGGGACGGGGGGCAGCTCCAAGCTGAGTGGAGGGCGGCTGCGCCCCTAGCCTGCCCCTGGGTCGGGCCGGGTGATGCCAGGCCCACGGTGGGTCTCAGTGATGAGAGAGCGGGGTGGGCACCGCTCTGACGCCGCCACCTACCACGTACCCAGCCCTGACCCGCTGCCCCTCTAGTTCTCACTCACACCCTGGCGTTTCCACCCCACTTTACAGATGAGGAGACTGAGGCCCAGGAGGAAAGCTGCCTGCCCCGACCACGTGTGGCTCGGGTCTGAAGCTGCTGCAGGCCCCGCCCCGCGGCAGAAGCCAGGCTGTGGCATCTGGGACGTTTCGCAATAAGCGGGCGGGAGCCGAGCTTCCATGGGGAGGAGCCAAATCACCGCTTGGCAGGTGGGACGTAAAGTCCTGAGGGCCAGGCTCCTCACTGGGGGGAGGGGAGTCGACACCTCCCAGGAGCAGCAGCCGCCCAGCCCCCGGGGGGTGGGGGGGACCCTTACACTGTCTGCCCGCATTCCTGCCCTCCGGGGCCTCTCGGGGGCTCAGGGCCCTGTGGGCTCTCACGGGCAGGTCCCATGGCTCTGCTCGCCGCGGTCACAGCCCAGATGCCCAGCAGAGCCTGGTGGGCACCGCTGCCCACAGCTGAGCCGTGGGGCTGCGCACTCCAACGGGCTCGGCGTCGGCAACCAGCATCTCTGGTCAAATTCTATGACCCCTTACCTCACCAAAAAAAAAGAAAAGGAAAAGAAAATGGAAAGAAAAGCCCTCCTTGAAAACACAAAAGCCCCGAAGGGAGAATCCAGGCGACGGCGCCCTCCTCCCCCTCCCGGCTTCCTCCTCTCTGGCTCTGCAGGTGGTAAACTGAGGCCGAGAGAGCCGCTCGCCTGCAGGTGTGGGCGCCGGGCTGCCTCTGTCCAGCGCTGGAGCCGCAGCGGCTGCTGGTCGTCGAGGAAGGACGCGGCTGAGCCTGGAGCCAAGACCAGGCTCGCCCGGGGACAGGGCACCGAGGGTGCCGGCCGGGTGGGCAGCGCCCGCTGGGTCCCGGCACAGAAGGCTGCTGCTCTGCAAATGAGAAGAGACCTGGGGTGGGGGGGCTCGAACCTGGGGGGCAGGGCTCAGGGAAAGCGGGCTGGCTCCGATGGAAACCAGTCCGCGGCCACAGCAGCAGGGGGCCCCCATGGTTTCCATGGGGACGGGGCTGGAGGCAGAGCTCTGGCGAGGCCAGCAGATGTGGCCTGTGCAGGGCTGGCGTGGGGGTGGGGTGGGGGTGGGGGGAGGCGGGAGGAGGAGGCGGGGGGAGGGGGAGGGGCGGTGCCGCGCCCTTGCTGGGACGTGGCAGGGCTGGGGCTGGAGGCAGGAGCAAGTCCCCCCTCCAGGAAGTTCCCCAGGTCCGGCCTCGGACTGCTCCAGGCTACATGTCTGCTCCCCACGTGCTGGCCCAGCCCCGCGGGCGCCATCTTGGCCTGAGCCTCCTTGAGGCCCCGTGTTTGCAGAGGGAGGCCCCTCCGTCCCTGAGTGTGGGGCAGTCCAACTGTCCTGCCTCCGGCCCTGCAGCCCCGGCCCCGGCCCCACAGGTCTCCTGGGTCCAGTTCCTGCGCTCTCCTCCTGCCCCCCGGCCAGGCCTGCCCGGAGGGGGTCCCCCGCCTCCCCAGAGGCCCCCCCGGGGACCCCGAGAGCACTGAGCGCCTCTGAGGCACCGGGATCTCGGGGGATCAGGGCCAGGAACCCCACAGCGGTCTCACGGGGACCGGCAGGGCTCCTGACTGCCCAGGAGGGCTGGTTTCGCAGGAGCTGAGCCTGGCCGTGGCCATGGCCACCGGGCACCTCCTGCTGCCCTGATCTGAAGGAGCCCGCACACTGAGACCCAGGCATCTGCAGCACAAGGACCAGCTTTGGGCCCAGGCATGACCCCCCCCCCCCGCCTTCCCCCAAGATAAGTGCCTCCAAGGGGGAGGGGTGGACGTCTGCAAGGAGACCTGAGACCCCACAGGAAGGATCTGGGAGACCCCCCTCCCCCGCCCGCAGGCTCTGTCCTTCGCGGCCGCTCTGAGACCCTGCCGGCTGCCGAGAGGTCCCTGCTCGGTGCCCCCCAGCCTCCCGGAGTTTTAGTCTCCCTGATGGGAAGGCGGGCTCTCTGCAGAGCTTCTGAGAGCAGCTGGGCACAACCTCCAACATCCCCCTGGCCTCCCATGGGAGCCCCGAGAACAGGTCAGTCCCTCCCTCCTTCCCGCTGCTGCTGCCACACTATGCGCTGTCCATGGTCCCGCCGCAGGCACTCAGAGCCACAGGCCTGCAGCCCTCAGCCCTGCAGGGCCCCTGGGCTTCCTCAGCCCAGGCAGCAGGCTCTGCCCCCGCTGGTCCCGCTCCCCCTCCCCCGGCAGCGGGCTGCGGACCCGGACCCTGGCGGCCACACCTTTCCCCCTAGTGTGGGCCGTGGTGGAGCGCCCGGATGAAGGCTGCTTCCACATGGGTCCCAAAGGCCAGGGAGCCCGGTGGGTCGCCGTCCGTCCGGGTGTGACTCCCTCTGGGGGGCAGAGCTCTCCTCTGGTGCCGGAGCACCCGGGACTGAGGCCCGAGGCCCGGGGGGCCCATCCATCCAGGCCGGGAGCCTGCGCGGGTTGGCACCGGACGGCTCACTCTTTGTGCACAAAAAAGGCTCCGGCTGAGGGCACCTCTCCAGGACCCGGCTCCCCTCTGGGCCCAGCCGCTGGGCAGAGCTGCTCACCTGGACCTCACACATGGCGCTGGGATGGAGTCCTCGTCCCAGCAAGTTCACCGTGGCGCACACCAGCAGGCTCTGGCGGCGGGAAGGGCGGGAACAGCCTTTTTGCCTCCTGGAGCCCTGTGCCCGCCCACACCCGGCCGGAAGTTGGGCACACCCATCGCAGGAATCTCGGGGCTGGGCTGGGCTCCCAGGAAACTGGGCCAGAGGTGGCCCCACCCCCAAGCCTCCTGGGGGTTTGCAAGCCCTGCCCCCACCTCCCATCCAGACCCCGCACTCAGAGGCCAAAGTCCCAGAGGCCAGAGGTCGAGGCCCTTCTCCCCAGCCCACCCACACGGTCCCATGTGGGGCCACATGTAGTTCCCCGAAACCCGTGGCTGCCATCGACCCCTCCCTCTCCAGATGGGGAGCCCAGGTAGGTCAACTGCCAGCCCAGGCCTCTCCCTAGGAGGCCACAGGGAGGGAAACCCAACCGGGCCTCCAACAGGCCTCCCCAGCACGGGGCCCTTCCCCCAGGCCAATACCATTGCCCCCATGTCAACGGCAGAGACGTGAGCCTACGTGCGGGCGAATGGCTCTTATCAGGCCTCCTGTCCAAGGCCGGCTGGGCAATCGCACTGGCTCATCAGCCCTCCCCCCACCACCACGTCCCCCTCTCCCCCTCCCCTCCCCCTCTCCAGGGGCCCGGCACGTAGGCGCACGTGCACACATGCACACGGCCTGCCCACCCAGGCTCTGGCCGCTCCCACCCGCCTGCCCAGCCGCCATTTCCTCTCCCGGGCCCCAGCCTCGCTTCAGTCTGCAAATGGCCGCCCCCGGCACCGCCTGGCCCCGAGGGGACAGGGCCCTGCCTGGCCAGAGCCCAGAGTGCAGCGGCTGGGCAAGGGCCCCTCCTTCCCCCACCAGCAGCCCCGCACGGGGGTGGCTGTCCACCCACTGGCTGTTTGGCGGCCCCAGGGTGGCCCATGGCCAACCCCAGGCAGACACATGGCCACCAATCGCCCGTCCACCTCTGGAAGCTGAGATGGTTCAAACCCACCAAGTTTTTCTTGCACCCAAGTTTCTCCACGTACCCCGGAGTACAGGACACCTGTGTGTCCACGCACACGTGCTCCACGCACGGGCCACGGTGCAGAGAGCAAGCCATCCGCATCCGGCCGCCACGTGGACACCCGTGTTTGCGCTCAGTGAACGCAGAATGAGTACAGGTTCTGGAGGACACAGGCCCGCGTGCGAACCCCGTGCCAGCCCTCAGCAGCGGGTTGATTCTGGGGAACTCACTCGCCTGAGCTTGGTGCCCCACCCCCACCCCCAGGAATGGCCCTGAGGACAGCCCTTGCATCCAGGCGTTTCTGAGGGGCTCTGTGTGAGCTAGGCGTGTGCTAAGTGCTGTCCGCGTGTCACCGTGAGGCCGGGACACGTGCTGGCCCATTGCACAGACGGGGAAGGAGGCACAGCGAGGTGAAGCTCGCCCCTGACCAGGGAGGAGAGGCCCCCATCGCTGAGACTGACCCGAATCTTCTAGAGCCCCCGGACCCGGGCCAGGGCCAGAGCCCCGACACTGACAAGAAATACAACTCAGATGCCGAGACAGGGTCGACCACAGGCTAAAAGGACCCCCCGTCGGAAAGGACGAAAGGGTTTTTAAAAATCTGGGAAATTGGCTCCCCAACGGGGCTGGCAAATGCCATTAACTGTTCCTTCCCTTCCCCAGCATCTCCACCAACAGGTACGTCCCTAAAACAAGCCTCAAAAAAAGCCGCAGCCCAACTCGGACTTACTCTGCAGGACGCAGCCCAGCCGGCCTGCTGGAGGCACGGACCGCTGCCCGCCACCCAGGGAAGGGGCCTCGGGGCTGGGGGCTGGGAACAGGAAAGGAATCCAGAAGTTAGAGATGCAGCAGCAAACACTTAAAAACGAGGAGGAGGGGGGAGAGGAGCCCTCGGAGCTGATTACAACACCGTGATGTGAGCAAATTCACAAAATAAACAGTCGCCAGCGTTTGCCAAAGATTGAGGCTGTAAAAGTGCTCTGCCCGCCGGGCGGCGATAGGGACCGATATAGGGTGCACTTTATCTTGGCAAGATAAATTTTTTTAAATTTATGGCTACTCTTTGTAGTTACCTGTTGATTATTATTTTTTTTTTTTTTAGTTTGGATTTTAAAGTACCTTTAGACCGTGCCAAATATTTAACCAGCTGTTTTTTCATAGAAGTCTCAAAATGACTTTATGGAAGGCTGAACATACAACACCCAGACAGTCAATGTCCGTCCTGAACACCGTGAAGATAGCACAGTCTAACCCTGCCCACACCCCACAACGCTGAGTTCCAACCCAGGGTTAGCGTGGCCCACGCTGCAGAACAAGATAAAAACTGGTAACTCATTAAGACACGGCAGGTCCTTTGACCGAGGTCATGTGCTGTCTCAGAAGGCAGAGATAAAGACCAAAATTTAAATTAAAATCTAATGAAGGGGATCGTGTTCCCCGGCGGAATTTTTCGGGAGCGGGAAGGTCACTGGGTCAGGCTGCTCCTCGACTCGGAGGCAACTTGTTTGTTTTGACCTCCGATCTCCCAAACCGGCGGCTCCACCACCGAACTACGCCGTGTGGCCGAGGCCGGGAGCCCGGCAGACCAGCCCATCTGTGCTGTGAGGACGGGCCACTTCAGTCTACAGCAGAGTTTATACAGAAGCGACGATGTGAAAACTGCTATGCGTGCTGCTTCTTTAAAAAAAAAAAAAAAAACCCTGCTGAAAAGTAGCGGGTGCCATGGAGAATGCTGAGGTTCTGCCTGATTTACAAAAACAAAAAAACAAAAAGCCTACGGAATTTTTCACTGATTTGGGGAAGAGGTCTATTTGACTGATTTCACCCAAGTTAAGAACTACGATGGTCACTGACCAGCCAGCCGCCTCTGCAAGTTAACTGTTCCTGCTGGGTAAGGTGGTGGCCACAGACATTAAAACCATGAGGCGGGCCTCATCTCGGTGCAAAATCCTAATTCAGAACGAAAACGCTCATTTATGGAAATTAATTGATTTTATGCTACTTGCCCCACCTTGTCCAAAAAGAAGATGAGTTAATACTCAGAAAATGTGACTACCTACCTATCATTCCAGGATTTGGGATTAAAAATCTCTTTCACCTGCGTTAATTACACCAAAAAAAGTCAAATTAAAAGAGATGAGCAGTGGGCAGCTATTAAAAGTATTAAGTGCTTTTAAAAATGATTAACACCCCCCCCAACCTCCAAATGCCTCTCTCTTGCTCACTTGCCTTTAAAGTGTATGACACCCCGTTTCTTTCTCTGACTTTTATTTTGTCACCGGTGTTTCATGGGGGCTTGCTAAATATTTGGGTGGCACGCGCCTGCCGCCTGCAGCAGCGGGACATGGCTGTCACACCGCGGAAATGTTTTAATTCCCGCCGCTGCGTGCGCCCGTCTCCGCAGCCCAGTCCTCCAGGATGGACTGCTGTCTGGTCTCAGAACAAAGCAGCCGCCGAATTTTCCTCATGTGGGCTGAGCTGCTCGGGCCCCCACGGCTCCGAATTAGAAAAACAAAGGTGCACGCACACAAGAATTTGCCTGTGAGCTGCAAGCTAGAACTTTCTGGACCGAGCGTGCCATTTTGCATAAATCAAGACCCGGGCTGCCCTGAAACGCGGGGAAGCCGGCTGCGTCTGCAGGCCACGCTTCGTCAGCCCGCCCGAGGGCGGAGGTGAGCTCGCAGCTGCACTTTGCAAAGCCCACCTTTTAAGGGAAAAGGTTCAGCCACTCCGAAGGGTCAGGGACCAACAAAGAAACTCAGGCAGCCCCGGCCCCAGCTCTCCGCGAGCCCTGGCGGGGCCCCGGGGACACGGCAGGAGGTCCGTAAGGGACTCCCACCCCCGCCGGCCACTGCTCTGCAGGTCGGCACCAGCACGGGATTGGGGACACGCAGGGCCCCCCAGGGTCTGTCCAGTGGACAAGCCCATGTGCCCCCCGCATGCAGGCGGTGGGCAGGGCGGCTAGGAGCCGGCCCGGCACTGCTAGTGCTTAAACGAGGGCTTAAAAAATGAAAAGCCCCCAAACCTAACAGATCCTCCCACACCGAGCTGAGAGTCCGAAACAGCTTTCTTTTCTTTCTTTTTTCAAAAAATAAAATACAACGAAAGGGAAAGAGAACTGGATCCCCACGCTGTGGACACGGCGGCATTGAAGAGGCCGGACCACATAAAGGGCCTCTGTTCCCCAGGCGCGGCCACCTCGGAGTGCCAGCCAGGCCGCCGGCCGCGGAGCCGCCGGGAGGGGCGTGGGCGCCTCCGGTGTCTGTCCCTGTGCCACTCCTGACGCTGCCAGAGATTAAAACACCAGCGATAGCGGTCCGGAGGCGAGCGGACACGCGAACACGGCAGAGCAGGCCGTGCCTTTCATGCCTCCCGGAACGCTCGCTCAGATGACTGAGCGCGGCTGCTGTGCAGAACGTCCCTTTTCATTGTGATCTCTAAAGCTGCGGGTCTTAGAAAAAAATGGGCTCGGCTGCCACATTTCCCTGCAGTTTCTGGAAGGACTGACTTCACTAAAGCTGGGGGGGGGGGGGGGGCTCTGAGATAGAATTTGAATTCCGGAGAACCAATTAGAGGAGGGAAGGGAACAGCACGAACACAAGATGGCAGAGCCTCGGCTCGGCTCCAGAAGAGAAGCCAGAGGCGACTTACCCAGGCGCCGGGGAACGAGGAGCTCTCTCCAGAGTGAGGACGTGAACCGTCGTGCCCGCTGGTCACGGCGGCGGCCGCTGAGCACGGGTCCCGCTGGCCAGGCCAGGCCCAGGTGCCAGCCCCGGTCAGACGGGCCCTCGGGTGTCCTGGTCTCTGGCCGCCGTCGTCTGTCCGTCCCCGCTCCTGGCTGGCGTGGCCTGGGCCTCGGCCACCGGAGGCAGGGCTGCCAGGAGCGAGTGGCGCTGGGAGCCCGGCTGGCAGCCCGGGAGGAGAAAATGCTACTTTTGTCTCCTGCGCTCGCTCTCGTCTGGCACTGGCTGCGGGGAGGGGGCCGGGCGCGCTCGGCCCCGCCCACCGGGAATTTTTGAAAGATGCTCATGGGTGTCAGAGGCAGACGTGGCAGAGGCGGGTGGGCCGGACCCCCAAACGAGGCGGGGGCGGGGGGGGGGCTGGCCGGGGGGGGGGGGCGGGAGGAGAAAGCTGCAGCGTCTGGCCACTCAGCGGCCACCGAGGAGGACGCCGGGAGCCCGGCCCGGCCCGGCCCGGCCCGGCCCAGCCCTCCCTGTGGCCAGGCTCGCGCCATGTTAGGGCGGCCTCGGGGCCAGGCTGCCCTGGGAGTCCAGGCAGCCGGCTGCCGGGGAATAGAGGCCGCTTTGTTCCCACGCGTGGCCCTGCAGAGCAGCCGGGGCCGACCGCCGGGGTGCTCCCGGGACGGGGCACCCCAGCCCACCCCAGCCGCCCCCGGCCCTCCAAGGGGGCCCCCCTAGCCAACGCTGGGGAGGCGGTGACCACCAGTTTGATTCTGGCCTTGTGTCCCATCAGCCACCTACGTCTGGGCGAGCCACACCGCCTGTCCGAGACTCGGTTTCCCCGTGTGAAGACCAGGGCCGCTGTGACGACAGAACGAACAAGGCACGCA